AACGACTTTCTGAATAAATGTTTCCTGTTACATTTTTTCAATTTCTTTAAAGGTTATACTGAATAGCATCTGGGATTATAATATGTTTAACAATTTCAGGGATGGCCAGAAAGTATCTTGATCGAAGAACTGAGGCTATAATCACCATACAAATCATAAATTTGTCAGATATTGTTGTATATAGACAGACCTTCGAATAATAAAATATTTCTAGAGCAAGAATATTTTCCGAATCAAAATTGAAACCTCAGAATATTCTATGGATACCTACAGAATATTCAATGATTACTATTGGATGATCGATTCGGAATAATCCATAGATAGTAGAAATATTTGATGAAAAGATATTCCAAAGGTATCCCATGAATATTCTGGATTATCCAATGAATATTCTTTGTCGGATATCTATAGCCCATACAACACGGGATATCCTATGGACGTCCAAATCATGTCCAATTCATGTCGGGATATCCTTGGACCTTTTTGGATATCCATAGGATATCCAAAATTCACCCGCGCGGATATAATCAATGTAATAAATTGTGAATATGAATTAAATTGATGAAAATTCAAATCTATGTGTGTACATAGTTATATTACTAGGAAATATATAATATATCGAATATGGAATTTTTCAACGTCTTCTTGGATATCCAATGGATATCCATGGGATATCCTGTATTGGAGCATTGAACCACGTCGTTGAACAATAACGCCCAGAATAACATAGAGATGTCGACAAAGTCGGCAGTGTCGGACTCACCAGTCACCAAACATATTTTGGATGTCCATGTGGGTCCCATATATTTAATAACAACTATATGGGTAACGTCCTATCCTTTCCTTGTTCAAAATTGAAGCCAGTTTTGAGAAACAAATGACAGTCTGCGAGACAATGAATAATCATACGTTCACTCGCCAGCTAACAGATGCGCATAGAACAGAGTAGAACTGATGTCGTTTATTGTGTTCGGCTCATGCGCCTTAGTATCAATTTGCCCGTAGACTGTCTTTTGTTATCAATTTTTTGGCTTCAATTCAGAGATCTTGTCACCCATATAGATGTTATTAGATATATGGTGGGTCCATGACGCGAACGCAGACTACAGAACTCAAATAAGTTCTGACTTCTGTGCCACTGTCATTTTCTATCCAATGTGACTTGTGACAGTTGTGACTGTGACCTGAGAGTCCTGAGACTGTGACAATAAAGGTCAACAGCATCAGAGCATCAGCACGCATTACGCATCAGACTGTTTTCATATTTTATCTGAATGTTGATATCAATGATATCTTGATTTGATTATTTTTGTCGTTGTTTGAGATTACCCAAAAGTTCTTGAACGATGTTCTATGGACGTCATTGAAGGATATTTTATGGACGTCCGTGAAGGATATCCTATGGACGTACAAGTTGGTGGCCTCAGGACATCCATTGGACGTCCATGGGATATCCATTGGACGTTATTTGGATGTCCATTGGATATCCAAAATATCCTGAATGGATATCCTATGGACATCCATCGGATGTCCATGTGTTGTATGGGAGAATATTCAAAAAGATTCCCATTTCCATGGTCCATAGAATATTCTAAAAAGAATATAAATATTTAAAGTGGGTCTAGAGAATATTCGAACATCCGAAACGGAATATTCTTAGGATGTCCATAAATTATCTAGTGCTATCTGGGATATCGCGTCACAGAAGTTCATATGTGAAATCACTAAGGATTCACATAAAACTTTCTTTGTTCTGTGGTCAAGTATATGTCTATTATTGTGAATAAGTTTCATATTACAGAAAGATCTTTCAATTATTGGATTAACATGTATTTCGAATCTCGAATTGTCATCCAGGTATGAAACCTAAGTTCTTAGCACAAGACACTAGACTTAAGGATTCGGTGTTTATCTCAATGTCAACAAGATGTTTGTATTTCACCCTAGCACATTTTCGGCCAAATAGCATTAGGTACTTGAGACTTCGTAGGATTTATTTCCAAGTAGTACTTTTGAGACATTTAGCACAGTGCTCGTAGATCATCATTTATTAGATTATTACTCTCTAGAATATTGGCAGGAGAAAAAGAGAAAAGGATATCTGAGTATCATCTGCATAAAAATGACTCCTACAATTGATCAAACATTCTCGAAATGATGATGTATAGATTGAAAATAGAAGTGGACATTATTCTTCAACTTAACTGATTGCCTCTTTTCGAAGAGGTAATTCTTCATCATTGCTATTGCGTTCTCATCAAACCCTATATGTTGCAATGTTGCAAGCAGTAATCGATGGTTGATTCTGTCGAAGGCTTTACTATAGTCAATAAGAACAAGCACCGTTAGTAGATTTTTATCTGCTGCCGACAGAATGTCATCTACCACCGTCAGAAGAGCAGTGGTACAGCTATGATTTTGCCGAAACCCAGACTGGTTTGGAGGAATAATTTCATAATTATCTAAAAAAACTCTTATTCTTCTTATTCTTGATTGATTCGTTGACTGATCGACAGTATTAGTTGCTTTACAACAAAACACGCAAAAAGGATCCAAGAAAACAGTTCCTTGTTCTGAGATTTAATTCTTCATGAAATAATGATAAATATCGTATCAGCAAAGCAGCAAACAGCATTATCAAAAGGTAAAACAGTTAGTTTTTTTTAATTGGCTTGGCCGTTACTTGATGGAAATCCATGGCAAATGTAAAAACTTCACAAACGATAAGATTTCCACAAAATTCTCAAACACACGACATGTTATTCCGCTAACACAGTAGCTTTGTCAGGTGATATATGGAGTTCATTGTACCAGTATATCACCTGACGAAGCTACTGTGTTAGCGAAACATGTCGTGTGTTTGAGAATTTTGTGGAAATCTTATCGTTTGTGAAGTTTTTACAAAAACAGTTAATGTTGTGAAACGCTATCAATAACGATACGCACAGGCGGAAGTAGGTACGTAAACAAAAATGTGCGAAAATGTCAGTCGAGAATTTCATGAAATCAATAATAAAAAAAAATATGGTTATCGCAATTACATAGGCCTGCCCATACCACGTCCGCTCGACATCTGGGTGGGATCACTGGGAACCGTCGGCTTCTGATTCTTGGTCGTCTCGTCAAGAAACAGAATGAGATGCTTGATAAAAATGTCAGTCGAGCATGACATTAATAAATACACATGGTATTATATCGTGAGTATATAATCAATTATTCAATTACAATTATTATAATGGCCTGTCCATACTACGCCTGCCTGACATCTGGGCAGGTTCCTTCGAATTCTGATACGTGTTTGTTTCATTGACCGACAAAATGAGGTGCCGCAAGTACGTGAACAAAAATGCAGTGCGAAAATGTCAATCGAGAATTTCATGAAATTAATAATAATGAAAAAACATAGTTATCAATTACATATGGTCCTGCCCATACCACGTCCGCCCTACATCTGGGCGGGATCCGCCGACTTCTAATTCTTGATCGTCTCGTCAACATACAGAATGAGATGCTTGACAAGAAAACAAAAAATAGGAAGGGTCTAAGAAAACAATTCTTTGTTATGAGACTTCTTCATTATGAATAATGGAAAATAGTCTAACAGCAAAGCAAACGTTACCAAAAGGTTACAAAGTTAATGTTAATGAAACGCTCAATAACGACGCACGGCCCAAAGTATTAGAACAAAATGAAGTTCAAAACTTTCAGACTAGTATGAAATGAATAAAAATAAACATGGTTTCCAACAAGATAATCATATTGTGAGATTTCTTCTTTGGATTATGAAAAATATCGTATCAGCAAAGTAAAGGTTGAACAGTTAATATTGTGAAACGCTTAATAACCATGCATGGCCGGAAGTACTTGAACAAAAATGAAGTGCGAAAATGTCAGTCGAGCATGAAATTAATAATAATTAAAAACCATGGTTACCAATTACATGGGCCTGCCCATACCACGTCCGCCCGGCATCTGGGCGGGATCCGCAGACTTCTGATTCTTGATCGTCTCGTCGACGGACAAAATGATATGCTTGACAACAAAACCATAAATAAGGAAGGATCCAAAAAAACAATTCTTTGTTGAGATTTTTTTATTATGAATAATGAGTCTATCAGCAAAGCAAACGTTACCAAAAGGTTACAAAGTTAATGTTAATGAAACGCTTAATAACGACGCAGGGCCCAAAGTATTCGAACAAAAATGAAGTACAAAAATTTCAGACGACTATGAAATGAATCAAAATAAATATGGTTTCCAACAAAACAACTATGTTGTGAGATTTCTTTATTGAATTATGAAAAATATCGTATCAGCAAAGCAAACATTATATCAAAAGGTTAAACAGTTAATGTTGTGAAACGCTTAATAACGATGCACGGTCGAAAGTACGTGAACAAAAATGAAGTGCGAAAATGTCAGTCGAGCATGAAACTAATAATAATGAAGAAACATGGTTATCAATTATTACATGGGCCTGCCCATACCACGTCCGCCCGGCATCTGGGCGGGATCCGCCGACTTCTGATTCTTGGTAAACAGGCAGAATTAGATGCTTGAAAACAAAACCATAAAAAAGGAAGGATCCAAGAAAACAATTCTTTGTTGTGAGATTTCTTTATTATGAATAATGGAAAATAATTTATCAGCAAAGCAAACGTTATCAAAAGGTTATACAGTTGATGTTGTGAAACGCTTAATAACGACGCACGGCCCAAAGTATTCGAACAAAAATGAAGTACAGAAATTCAGACGAGTATGAAATGAATAAAAATAAACATAGTTTCCAACAAAACAATTCGGTTGTGAGATTTCTTTATTGAATTATGAAAAATATTGTATCAGCAAAGCAAACATTATATCAAAAGGTTAAACAGTTAATGTTGTGACACGCTTAATAACGATGCACGGCCGCAAGTACGTGAACAAAAATGACGTGCGAAAATGTCAGTCGATCATGAAATTAATAATAATGAAAAAACATGCTTATCAATTATTACATGGGCCTGCCCATACCACGTCCGCCCGGCATCTGGGCGGGATCCGCGGACTTCTGATTCTTGATCGTCTCGTCGACGGAGAGAATGAGACAAGTCGCTTCGGTGGCGGCTGTCAGAGCGTTCACCTTGATGATGGCCGGCTCCCACACGCACGCCTCGTAGTTATCGGAGATGTCTTCTTTGCCGATATCGACTCCGTACCAGTTGCTGCCCTGGAGAAATTAATGTTTCAGATTGTACTTGACATTTAATTCGAAATGTTCTTTGCCCGCTTTTCAATGGGGAAGTTTCCAATATTGAGGGTCATATCTCACTAGAATTTGGAAAAGTTCAATACACAGTGTCATTTCATCAAGTAAAGGGCTCAGAGGATTTCCCATTTCATGGATAACCTGGAGCTAATAATACATAAACTTTCATTGATAAAACAATGTTTGTATTGGTAGAGATACGTAGATGACTTTATAGTATGCTTTAAAGGAACCAATAGACAATTAGACAGTTTTCACCAATATATTAATACTATCCATCCAAACATAAAATTCACAACTGCAGCATAATAGTATGATACACAGGCTAGTGAATGTCCCTCTTTCGGAAGTAAATTTCAATAAAGAACTCAATATCATAAAACAGATTGCAGTCAATAACGGATACAACGTTAATTTGATAGACAGTATTCTTTCTAAAAAACTTCATAATAAAGCTATTCAAGAAGTTTATCCTACCATCAAGAATAATAATCAAAATTATAGAACTATAACCTATTTCGGATCATCAACTGAAAAATTAGCTTCACTTCTACATACACAGGACTTAAAATAAAGACAAAACTTCCAAATTAGACAGGTCGTACGTTTAATCAGGGCATTCATGAACATAAGATGATTTTTTTGAAAAAGAAAAAAAATTTAACATACGCCAACCATAGAATAGAAGAAATCCATAGTTTTGATGATAATTTCGAAATTCTACATGTAGGAAATGAAGGAATGAACTCAATCATTTTGAATCATTAGAAATCAAAAAACTAATAAAAATTTACATTTTACTTAACGATCAGTTAGACCTGAATAGTTCACCACTGTTGAATTTGTTTTCTTAATAGGTAATATTTATTTGCTATCAAACCTTTCAACACTGTAATGTAATGTACTACTCCAAATAGTATATATTTTATTGATCTGCTTTGACAATTGTGCAGTTCAATTTTTAATGTGTACTGTTTATTGTCCTTTTACACTCTTAATAAGTTTTTTTTTATATTATTAATTTAGTTGTATATGTTTATGTTATGTTATACACTTATATTGACGTTTGAATGCTATGCTTTGTCAATAAGAAATACTGTTTCTTAGACAATAAAGTATATTTCTCTCTCTCTCTCTCTCTCTAATGTAGATATTGTTCCTAATTTCCGAAAATGAAGGTTTATCAAACCTGTCCACAGGTAACTAATCCTTCAAGTTGGGAAAGTAGGATATATTAAAGTTAAACATGCCAAGGTTGGTTTAGTTCATTGTACTAGTATACCACCTGACGAAGCTACTGTGTTAGCGAAATATGTTGTGTTCAAGAATTTTGTGGAAATCTTATCGTTTGTGAAGTTTTTACATTTAATCGCTGTACATAGACTTTCGAAAGAGTTCATGAAGAAAAGTGCTTCTAATTTGAACGTTTTATTGTAACGTAAGAGTTTTTGATATTTTTGATTTCTTCTAATTGTAACTTCGACAAAACTGTCCTAAATTTTGGTTGGATATGTTGAGTAGTTATATAATATTTTGATAGATGACTTGGCATCATTGTAGTACTGACAAAGTAACTCATGTATAAAAATCACACAAGTCGCTGTCATTTTGTCATTATGACAGCGAAAAAACTTTGCCCGAAGTTTTCCAGCGACAAAACAGAACCTAGTTTTTGAAACCATGAAAACCAGAATTGTGAAACGAATCTTTGATGACGTTTATATCAATCTTGCGTTGTCAGAATAGTTTATTATCTTTGGAAATGTCGCGATTTGGATTGAAATTGAGAAATCTATCAACAATAATGTGATTTACACATTCCTCAAATTGTCTTACCGAATTACACTCAAGCGATTTTTTTTAGCCGAAGAAAACTTGACATTTATAATTCGAGTTTTGTTGGTTGCCTTCAGGAAATTCCAGACAAAAAATTACCAGGAAAAATTACTCGTTCTATAAACTCGTGATTTTTTCGTTTAATTTCCAGGCAACAAAATTCTCATTGAAATGTCAAGGTTACTTCGACAAAATAAAGCTCTGGCAAGTGAAAAAATCAATTTAAATTTTTGCTCCTGAACTTTGCATCAAACACGAGGGGTAAACCGCGGTGGAATTCTGGTGTACAAACAACTGGAATTTCTTGGAATTCCTTGGAATTCTGTGGAATTCCTTGAGTGAAATGGGCTATATTCCTGGGCTACAAACAGCTGGAATTCCTTGGAATTCCTTGGATTTTCTTCGAGTTCTTTGGATTTCCTTGGAATTCTTTGAATGAAGTGCGGTATAATTCTGGTGTACAAACAACTAGAATTCCTTGGATTTCCTTGGAATTGCTTGGATTTCCTTGGAATTCCTTGGAGTTTCTTGGAATTCCTTGTGTGAAGTGCGGTATAATTCTGGTGTACAAACAACTGGAATTTCTTGGAATTCCTTGGAATTCTGTGGAATTCCTTGAGTGAAGTGCGGTATAATTCTGGTGTACAAATAACTGGAATTTCTTGGAATTCCTTGGAATTCTGTGGAATTCCTTGAGTGAAGTGCGGTATAATTCTGGTGTACAAACAACTGGAATTTCTTGGAATTCCTTGGAATTCTGTGGAATTCCTTGAGTGAAATGGGCTATATTCCTGACGTGCGGTATAATTCTGGTGTACAAACAACTAGAATTCCTTGGATTTCCTTGGAGTTTCTTGGAATTCCTTGTGTGAAGTGCGGTATAATTCTGGTGTACAAACAACTGGAATTCCTTGAAATTCCTTGTGAAATTGAAGTTTGGTACACAATTTTGACCGCGGTTTACCCCTCGATCAAACATCAGAAATATTTGAAACGGGAATTATTATTGTCAATAATTATTATCAGTGATTAAAAGTTAGTAGCATGATGAAGCTACTAGCAGGAAATGATTTTGTCGGTGTTAATTTTCCTTAATATAACAGACATTCAGTAGGAATTGAAAAAATATCAAAAACTGAAAATACTTATACTCGTTTGGCAATAATAACGTTTATATAGACTATAGAGAAACCGTGTAATGGGTATGCGTCGTTGCCCCACCTACTCGAGTATGGCAGGTGTGGTAAACGATAATCCTCGCGGTCGGGCCGAACAATGGACTCGCTCGAAGGAGAAGCTAACTCGCCATGAGAATCGATTATAATCTATTTTTAAAATCGAAAATCAAGATGGCGGATTAAATATGGCGGACGAGTTTTGTGATCCGATTTTATTCAGAATTGGTATCTGGGGATTTTCGGTGTCGGAGATTATGATTTATTCGTCAAAATTATGAAATTAAAGATAGCGGATCCAATATGGCGAACGGGTTTTGTAATTGTGATCCATTTCTATTCACAATTGGTATCTGGGGGTTTTCGGGGTCGGAGATTATATTTCTTTCATCAAAATTAAAATATTCAAAATGGCGGAACTAATACGGCGGACGAGTTTTTTTATTTATGATAAGATTCTATTCGAAATTGGTATCTGATGGTTTTCGGGGTCGGAGATAATGATTCTTTCATCAAAATTTGAAAATCCATGATGGAAGATCTAATACGGCAGTAACTATGACCCAATTTCATTGGAGAATCCAATATGGCGGACGAGTTTTTTTAATTATGAACCGATTCTATACAAAATATGTATCTAGGGGTTTTCGGGGTCGGGGATTATGATTGTATTCTTTAAAGGAAATTCAAGATGGAGGATCCAATATGGCGGAAGAGCTTTGTAATATTAGTTTGAAAAACTATAATGAAACACGCTTTTATGAATAGCCAAACGTTTTTATAGATAGCCAAACTAAAAAGTGAGTAGAAAATAAAGACTATTGAAAAGGAATATTCTCAGATAAATTATGAACATACAAAAATGGATATATATTTATATAAAGCAATACATTGAGAATTCGCATTCTCTATGTGATGAGAATATTTACTCTTTCTCAGTTGATTCAATAGAAAACAACTACTTTCCTGGCTATATGCCACGACGAACATTGAATTATATCTATTGAACACACGATAAGAGTTTGAAAATAAAATATAAAAACTTCTGAAATTGAGAATTTGCATTCTCCTTCACCCAAAAGCAAATAGAGTAGTTTGGAAAAAAATAAAAGATATAGTGCCGAACTAAAAAGAACTAGGAAATAAATAGAACAGTTTGAAAAACTACAGAATTTCGCTTTTATGGATAGCCAAACCAAATAAAATAAAAGTTTTTGATATATATTATATTTATCTGAAAAAATGTTTTCTAGAAATAATGTTATATTTAATCGTCTGTCGAATGCTTTATACAACCGGCCCGAAGTTTTTCTTTGAATAGTAGATTGTTTTATTAGGATCGAAAGTGACACTTTGTTTGACAAGCGAATTTTACATTTGTGAGGCGGAGTGTTTAGTGAAGCCGAGCGAAAGCAAAATCTGCGAGTCAAACAAAGTCACTTTTGATCGGGATAAAACATGCTATTTTTCAACCGGATCAGGAAAGCCCTCAAGATTCACATACTTGCTTGATCTGAATTTCATTCGTTATTCTCGGGATCTGATTGATTGGATACATTGTTTTTGAATAATCACGGCCAGCAATAGTTTTTTGCCTCGCACGATATTGTTTAACTTCATTTGATTACCGAGCCAAACACAGTGGAATATGGAGAGAAATAAATAATCGCTATTATTATTGTTGATATGCTCACTAACCTAACATTTTCCACTTCTTTTTCCTTTACCTGGCACTGGCGCGGTATTTGCTATTAGGGTTGACACCTGGTCCAAATGAATTCATCGATTCAATAGAAAACACAAATGGGTCACTCTGGGGTTGTATTTATATTGAAACTACAATTCGAACATCCTTGACAATTCAATAAACCTGATCTGTAATTGCAGGTAAGATACAAGTAGAATATTCTCACCTCAAGGATTATTTGTTGCATTGTGTACATATTGCAC